TTGGGAAAACATGTTAACATTGAGGCATCCATTCTTATAAACCATCCACCTCTTCAAAGCACAAAGCAAAGGGTACCCCCCTGTCTTCACGAGCCACTACTGCGAGACCGAGGTGGACCTCTGCTACTCGCGGCCCTGCGGCGCCCACGGGCGCTGCCGCAGCCGCGAGGGCGGCTACACCTGCCTCTGCCGGGACGGCTACACGGGTGAGCCGGGGGGGCGCCGTGGGGCGGCCCGGGGCGGGGGCTCTGGGGCAGGCCCCGGGCAGACTCGGCGGACCAGGCGAGGCACGGGCGTGCTGGGCCCGGGTCAACCCCCGGCCCTGGGACAGCCCACTGAGGAAGACAGAGCCCGGAGCCGCCTCTCCACGGTGCCGTGATGGCAGAGGCCGGGTGAAACCGCTCTGGCCCTGAAGCTGGTCTCCGGCGGCTTGGATCCCAGCTTGGCAGGAGTGGCTGGGTGACCTTGCGCGAGTTCCTTAACCTCTCTGGCCCTCTGTAATTTGAAGTGGGGATATGGGCCAGGTGGGGTGGCTCATACCTGTAATTCCAGCACTTTGGGAGGCTGTGGCAGGAGGATTCTCTGAGGCCAGGAGTTAGAGACCAGCCTGGCCAACTTGGTGAGACCCTGTCTCTTAAATTAAAAAGTTAGCTGGGTGTGGTGGTGCATACCTGTAGTCCTAGCTACTCGGGAGACGGAGGCAGGAGGATCACGTGGGCCCAGGAATTCGAGGTTGCAAGTTTGGGCTTGGAGAGAGGGGTACCCTGGACCTCTGCACCTGTGTGGCGCTGGCCAGCATGGCTCCACCCCTACACAGGCTGGTAAAGAGGGTCCTGGCTAGGCCTTGGTGGTGGCCTGTGAGCAGAGGTCTTCACACACCCTGTCCCCAGCTCCTCCCTGGGATGCTCCTTGCCTCTGTGCACATGTGCTCTGTGCTCCCGACCCCTCCCGTCAGTGCCTGCTTCTTCTAGGGACACTCCGTGCGCCCCGTCCTCCCGGGCCATGCCCACC